GAGTTTTTCAGTGTAGCCCAGACTGTCTGGAACTCACACTGTAGACCAGGCTGGCCTAGAACTCACAGATCCACTGGCCTCTGCTGCCAGAGTGCAGGGATTAAAAGCAACCCAATCTATTATTTGTAAAAAGCAGAAAGGTCTTGGTTCCATTTTCAGCCAATTGGTTGGGGAATACAAATCCCTTCATATTCTTAGCAAAGAGGCAGGCAGATCTCTTGTGAGTTTGAGGCCAGCCTGGTCTACAGAGTGAGTGCCAGGACAGCCTCCAAAGCAATACAGAGAAACCCTGTCTCGAAAAAACAACAACCAAAACCCCCTAGTTTCTTATTCCTCAAACAGATACTGCTTGATCATAGTCTAGTGAGTACGGGCATTTGCTAGTGAGTTTTAAACTAATTACTAATTCTTATAAACAAACCTGCACAATAGATATTTTCACATTCGTTTTAATAGTCAGGTGAGTTTTAGGAGTCCCAGCCTGTGACTCTGTCATAGGACTGATGATCCAGAGCCCCTTCCTTTTCCACCTGCTCTCTTGCTTCTTCCTCTAATCTTCTATTTATTCCCTCTGCCTGTCAGTCATGCCTAGTTCTCTCTCCTGCCTTGCTAATGACCAGTCAGCTCTTTATCAGACCAATCAGGTGTCTTAACAGGCACAGTAACACAGCTTCACAGAGTTAAACAAATGCAACATAAAAGAATGAAACACATCTTTGCACCACTAAACGCTCACAGCATAAACAAATGTAACACATCTTAAAATAATAATCTACAATGCCCCGTGGTAGATTTCTTTCTTTTTTCTTTGTTTTTCCAAAATAGGGTTTCTTTGTGTAGCCCTGGCTCTACAGGAACTCACTCTGTAGAGCAAGCTGGCCTTGAACACACAGAGATCCGTCTGCCTCTGCCTCCAGAGTGCTGGGATTAAAGGTGAGGGCCACCACCGCTGGCTCTCCACAACAGATTTCAGTTTCATAGACTACAAATTTACTTTAACATCCCTAGGTCTCTTTATATCCTAAGGATTAACCTGGACTGGTCTTGAAGGTGAAAAGTTGGGAGAGGATATTTCTGGACTGGCAAAGGTAAATCTTATCACCCACATGCTTTATTTTCCTTCTTACGACTCCTAACTACCTAACTCTGCATTGTTTATTAGCTCTGTTTACTTGTTTAGAAACAAGGTCTCATGTACTGGGTTGGCCTCTAGCTTCTGATTCTTCTCTTTCTATCTCCCAAGGACTGGGATTAGATGTTTACTGCCATTCCTGGCTTCTTTTTTGTTTTCTTTGAGATAGGGCTCTGCTATGTCTCCCAGACTGGCCTGAAACTTGAGGTTATCCTCCTGATTCAGCCTCCAACTAGAATGTTCTTTCCATAAAAGGGGTTTTTTCCTAGTTCCTTCTCTGCAGTTTCCATCATTTTGGGAAATAAGTAGGTAGCTCATTATTTGTCTGCATGAAGAGTGAATACTAAGCCAAATTAAAACTATAAGCGAGTTTTCATTTGTAGTAAATCTAAATTCCAATGAAAATTAACTACTTACCAATATACCAGAGGGGCCAGTATGTCACATTATAATATGTACTAATTAACTTTCCAGTCCTGAAAAGATTAGAAATACTTTTCAGTTATTTTAAAAAACAAAACAAAAACAAATCACCCCCAACTCCATCACAAACAAACAAACCAAAAGAAATATGAAAAGTCATAGAACCAGCCAATGATGGTTTAAAATTCCACTCTTGGGCTGATTAACTTACATTTCAGTATATATCATTCCGGCCATAGATACATTTAGGAGTCCCCAGGCTAAAACCACTTTCCTAGTTTCTGTTTCTTTTCTCATCCTGATGGTTCTGTCAATAAGAGATGTACTGGGGCTTACTTCTCCCTGCATCTATTCAAGAGCAAAACAAAACAGCCTGGAATTAATCAAAAGAAATCAAAAGTGTCTGTTGTAAAGTAACAACCCCACAGCCTTTTCCTCTTCCCTAACATTTCTTCCCAACCTCTCCCCACCCCACTTTAATATTAGTATATAAGAAGGGAATCCTAAAATGATTCTCTGGTGCTACAGAGAAATCAACAGAGAACTGGCTGGTTATTCCAGAGAAGTTAATAGTTCCATAAATGATAATGTCTTGTGTTACAATGTAAAGTAATGGTTTGTTATTAAGTCTGCAGAGAATCCACATTTTGTCTCTGACTCGACTATGTTACTAGGTCTAGATGAAGATACTAACTTTGTCATCACCACTGTGACAATCTAACCCTGACCTTGGGCTGATACAGACCCGGGATGTCCTTTTGGTGACGAACTTGTGAGGTTTTACAAATGAGGTGGCCCGGGACGACCATGGGAAGGGTCAAGAGAGAACAGGGAACACGTGCATTCAGTTTTGGCACACTGGAATTGTGTCTCCTTTGTCTTGCTAGGCTCAGCTCTGCAATCACATGGCAGCTCTGGGAAGTTGTATTCTACAGAGCAGACCACTAACCTTCCCGCCATCCAGCCCCGCGCCAAAACTCCCGTCGGAGAGCTTCCCTCCCTGGCTACCTCTGTGCAAACTTTAGTCATCCTTCTGTGTCTTTCTTCCCTTCCACTACAAGTGGCAGGACTTCTGGCCACATCCTCCCCTGGTTGAACCCCAGGCACAACTTTAGGCGTGGAACTCTGGGTGACCGCGTGGACTACACGTCCAGGAAGCACAAAGACAACCCCCAAAACGCACCATATTCTCCAGCCGGAAGCCACGAACTCGCGCCACTCCCTATTGCACATGCGCGAAGCCAAGTCTATGGCGGCGGCGGGCTAGGAAAAAAAAAAAAACTACAGTTACCGGAAGGACCGGGCCTTCTCTTCTCGCGAGAAGGAGGGGGTGGGGCAGAGGGACCAGGGCAGCGAACGTTGCCAGGGAAACGCCCTCGGATTTGTGGCACCTACTCAGCAGCTGCTGGAAGAAAGCTGAGCTGCAAAATTCAGACCAGGTTCTGAGCCCATAGTAAAAAGTATTAACTGTAACAAGCTGAATTTCGAATATTATCAATTGTAGATTTATTTAGGACCTTCATGGGGTCACATTTGTAAGCAGGTTTTATTTAGCCGGATGACTAATTGGTAGGATACAAGCATGCCTGATGTGTCCAGACACAGCAATGACAAAGCATTTTTCCTGCTTTGAGATGTTTTCCCCCCCAATTGGTCGGACCCAGTGTGAATTCTCAAATACCCACCTAATGAAGATGCAGCAGTAGGAAGAAAAAATAGAAGGTTCTATTGAAGTTAGTGGTTTTGAGACTAAAAGCAAAAACAAAATACCCACCTTTGCCCTGAATGTTCTTTGAAAGAGCTGAGGAAAAGTTCGCCTAGGAGGTGAGTTGGGTTTTACTTGGTAGTTAGTGCACATTCCTGCAATGTATCACTGCACCAGGTGTGGAATATAGGGGAAAACGCTCCCTGGTTATTGCTCCAAAGGGCTTTGCCTGAATTCTACAGGTGAAGTGGAAACAGGGAGATCGGGGGAGGCATGTCCACTACAATCTCAGCTCTGCAACACTGGCCCATGTACCCAGGACCTGGGGACTCATGCCACAGAAAACCCAGCCAAGCATGGTGGTATGTGCCTTTAATCCTGGCATTCGGATTCAGAGACATGTGGATCTTTGGAGTTCAAAGGTCAGCCAGGACTATATAATGAGACTGTCTTAGAAAACGTAAATAAATATTAAACAAAAAAATGAAGTTTCATTGTGATATTGCATATGAAAACTGGTAGGTTATTGTATGCTCTTAAAGAGATTTTTTTTGTCTGTATTGTCTTAGTGCAATGTTGTTTGGATCTAGATATAGATTTAGAGGTGAACTAACTTGGAAAACTGTTCAAAGAGAAAGGGTTCAGTTCAGTGTACAGTCAAACTAGAATGTCAGACTGTCATTTCTCCGCATGTAAGCCTATCTAAAAAGAAACTGCATAACTTTGATGTAGTTCTTAACAGGGGTCTGTGTCCTCTTGTTAATGTAACAAGTTATTGTACATCTATTCAAGGCTTATACAACACTTGTAAGATTAAAGTTGATAGATAGTTGCCATTATGTTATTAGTTATCGTAACAAAATATCCCAAAACATGGAATGCCTCCTCCAAGGGCAAAAAAACAAAAAACCAAAACCAAAACCCCCCCCCCCAAACTAGAGACCATCCATACTTTAAAAGAGCAGCCATTCCTACACACAGTTTGGGAAGCTGTGAGCGGGGCTGGCTTCTCTGAGCCTGATGGTGTTGGCTTGCACATGGCCTCATCTTATGCTCTCTTACAGCCTTTCCCCCTGTGTTGGTGAATATTGGTACCCTTTCCTCCTCTTTGAGACCACTAGCTAGATTAAAGCTCCATCCTTAAGACCTGATAGAGCCTCTGTAGCCTCTTTAAACTTTTTTGAAGTTTTATTTATTTTGCGTGTGTATGTGCCTATGTGTGGCTGCACAAGCTAACACAAGGAGGTCAGAGGATAGCTTGAGGGAGTCTGCACTCTCCTTCTGCCATGTGACTGGCCGGGGATCAAACTCAGGTGGAAAGTCTCGGCATCAAACGCCTTTACACACTGAGTCATCTTACTGTGTCTTTACTGCCTCTGTTCTAGCCTTATCTCCAAATACAAGATGGGGCTGAGGGTGTCCACATTTGATTTGTAGGGGACACACAATGCAGCCTGTAATACATTAGAACTGTGTATGTTAATTTACAATGGTATAGTATACACCATAAAAGAGACTGATAAAAAAACACAATACCTTAAACACTTAAACAGAAGAAAATAAAGTATATGTACGTTTCAAAGAAGAAAAGACTTAGCCAGAAGAAAGTATACTGAGAAATTCAGGGAATACCATAAACTGTGCTAGATGTCATTTAGATAAATCTGCACATCTAATCCAAGAAGACTTAACAGTTCCTGCAACAGTTGCTTAAGTGTATGTCATAATAGGTTGCCAGGGAAGTTGTCATAGGCCATGGAGGGAAATTGTTCCTGGTCACCTTCATCCCTTTGAGCATGTTTTGTTTTCTAAGCAAGAAGCTATCATGGGAGACCTTTTGTCCTTATTCTGGGAGGTGGACCCTCCTCCCATGCCCCTCAGTTTTGCCATTCCGAGTCAGGATGCCGAGTGCCGGAAAGATGATTCTTGTGGGACAATAGGCAGTTTCCTGCTTTGGTATTTCGTCATCATACTGATCCTCGTGTTCTTCTCTCGGGCTTCTGTCTGGGTAGGGAACCCTTTTGCTTTAAATCATGTCTTTAAAAGGATTTTTGTTAACTACACTGTCTGTAGGTTGATGAAAATAATTTTTAAAGGTTTGTGTTTTGTTTAAATAAATCATACAGTCTCATGCCAGAGACGGTAAAGTTATTGAAAAAGATAAAGAGAGAGCACTCTACTCCTTTCTTGTAGAGGTAGATACTGTTAGAGGTGCGGAGAACTTCCTTCTAGGCTACTTTTTTCCTGCTTTTCTCAGTATATCTCTTTATCTTTGTCCTTGCATAGTCAAACTTATAATGTATGTATTTTCGTATCCTGACTTTTGAACTTAATATTTTGTCAATACTTCCCCCATGCTATAGTCGTTCAGCAGCATTTTCCATTATGACTTTTCTGTCTTATGGTTGCACTATAAAAATTCTGCAGTTGGAAATTTAGGTTGTTTACATTTTAGTCGTATGCTATGTAATACTGAGATAAATCTCTCTACTGGTTAGTGACTTACAAATTCCGCTTATAGCCATGTAATTCTGTTATCAAAGATATAAATGTTTGTCCTATTGATAGGACACATGTAGGATTTGGGGAGTGGTTAGAATGAAGCATAGAATAAATACAGAATTGAACTAAACAAGGCTAACGTCAACACTCTTAGACACAGATTAGCAAAAGAAAATGCTAGAAGCTTAGGAATGGCCTAGTCCACTTTATCAAGGCTGTGGCCCTCAGTGTACTGAGTACCAACCTCTTGAAAATTGCTGACACAGAATCTTTTCTGGCCATTAATAATGGGCTGGTGATTAATCAAGCTACCACCATTTAGCATTACAGCCAGAGCGCACTGCTGGCAGTGGTCAGCTAGATTGAGTGCTACATTAGTTCTGGATGGAGAAGAGAAGGTTTGTTATTTTGATGCCAGGTAGATTCCATTATAATAATAAAAAAATCCTCTTCCCCCTACTACCTCCTGGCCAAGAAGTTTTATCTGAAGTTTAAATGCTTCTTAAGGTAAATACTTTGCCAGAAGGAGAATTAGAACAGTGATGTGTTTTAGACCCCCCTGGCTAAGTATATTGAATTTTGGCCTGGCAAGAAAAGCTACTTTAGAAAATTAACAAAAAATTGGAATTGATCACTGGCAGTTTCATCATGAAGATCATTTAAGAGGTCTAAGCTATTCTCTTGTCCCCTTGCTTACATCAGCAATTTGGAGTTGTAGAGCTTTAAGGACTGAAGGGGAGCATGTGGTCCAGCCTTCTGTCTGTAGGTGAGCAAAATACCCATACCCACCCTACTTTTTTTTTTTTTAAGTAACGTGTCCAATGTCACACAAGTGGTTAGTGACAGAGTGACAGGAGGAGAATGGATCCAGATTTCCTGCCATACTGTTTGTTTACTTCAAAACCTAGCTTGAAACGTTGAATTAAATCTCTTCAGTGCTGATTAAAACCTTAATTATCCATGAGGTTTCATCTTTCCCTTTGTGCCCTGGTGGCAGCTACAGTTGGTCGGCCTGCTTCTGCTGAAGGGTCCCAGATTTGAAATCTGAGAACTGTATGAGAGCTAGTCAAAGAGGATAGAATTTTCCCCTTACTTTGAACTTCTTCATTTCCTCTGTGGAGTGGTGGGCCTCTATCTCCAAACCGTAAGGCAGCGTACAGAGTGGTAAAAATGCAGCAGTGATTACCCTCCGACGTGCACCATGCGGGTGGCCTCTGGATTTGTCTCTTTTAAAAAGATGTGCTTTCCCATTTGTTTTCAGATAGGAACTACTTGGGTTTTTGTTTTGTTTTTTCGAGACAGGGTCTCTCTGTATTGTTTTGGAGGCTGTCCTGGAACTCGCTCTGTAGACCAGGCTGGTCTCGAACTCACAGAGATCCGCCTGCCTCTGCCTCCCGACTGCTGGGACTAAAGGCGTGTGCCACTGACGCCTGGTGGAACTACTCTACTTGTTTAGCATGTATTAAGGTTGCTAGTGCTGGCTTTATTTTTCTAGATGATATTACTCTGAGATCCTTATTTTTGCATATGTAGAAATTGAGCTTAGCGGGTGTTGGGTGGCCCAATCAGATGGCAGAGTTGGTATGTGGCAGAAAGCTAGCATGCAGCCCACATTTTCTGCCCCTTCTGCAGAATAACCACTGTCACTACTTTCCCTCACTAAGATATACATGGGGGCTGTTAATGAAATGCTTGTGGCCGCCACAAGTTTAATGCAAAATCTTTCATTTGATTTTGTGATTATATTTTTGATTTGACATCCATTGTGGAAGCTCTCCACGGAAATGATTTTATAAACCTAATAAGTGCTTTTAAACACCTTTTCTCTCAACTACAAAAGTGCACACTACAGAACACAAGATTATGGGAATGTAGACAAAATTTAACAGACACTACTCCAGATTATATGGACGTCACCATATAATATCTAGGTTTACAGACATCCAATCTTTCAATAATTGTCTGTATACATGTTAGAGTTAAAATATGCACAGAGTCCTAACACATTTTAAAAAATGTATCTTTGAGAATGACTTCAGACTCAAGATATTCATAGAATGGCTACTGTAACAAGAAAAAAAAAGACAAGAAAATATCCTACTAGAGATAGAGAAAGCAGTGAGCCAGGGATCTTGGGTTTTGCTGCTAGCACTATGGAATTTGTGCCAAGTGTGGTGGCATGCATGCACCTGGCATGCACCTGTAATGCCAGCACTTGAGAAGTGGATGCAGGAGGACCTGGAGGTTCGAGGCCCTCTTTGGCTACATGGTTAGTTCCCGGCTAGCTAGGCTATATGAGGTCCTGTCTATAAAAAGCTAAAACTTTAAAACTAACTAATGTAACACATCCAGGGAGAGCACCTTGCAACCTAAATAAGTTTGACTTTTTGTACAAATTGCTTTTCCTAATTGTAGACAATTTGAAAAAAGAAGGAAAAAAATGACCATTTTAACCTGCCTTTACTTCATACATGGTTTTTATATACATATGTCCTTTGAAGTCTTTCCAGGTCTTTAGATATCTTGTGGGCATACTGTTACATATAAACTTGCATCTTGATTTTAGCCTGATAATCAAACATTATGACATACTTAAGATATTTACAACTATGTCTTACATGATCACACCTTAATTGAATTAACGATTATCTACTTTTGAATTTAAGTTCTATGTTATCCTATATATTTATATTATACCATATATATCCTAAATATATTATACCACAATGAATATTTCTTTGGTTTATTTTTGGCTTTTAGAGACAGGGCTCTCTGTGTAGCCCTGGCAGTTCTGGAACTCACACTGTAGACCAGACTGGCCTTGAACTCAGATCCAACTGCCTCTGCCTCCTGAGTACTGGGCTGGGATTAAAGACATGCACCATCACTACCTGGGCATAAGGAGTATTTCTTTTTTTTTTTCTTTTTTCTTTTTGGTTTTTATGAGACAGGGTTTCTCTGTATTTTTTTGGAGGCTGTCGGTCCAGCCCGGCCTCGAACTCACAGAGATCCGCCTGCCTCTGCCTCCCGAGTGCTGGGATTAAAGGCGTGCACCATCACTACCTGGGCATAATGAGTATTTCTATGTGTATAGCTTTCAGTGTATGTGGGGTTTTTTTGTTTCTTCATTCTTTGTTGTTGTTTTGTTTTGTTTTTTGCTTTTGTGTGGGGGAAATAACCTCTTGGTAATAGATTCCCTGAGAAAGAATGTCAAATGTGCTCATGAGTGCCAAGCATGGTGACACTTCTGTAATCCCAGAATTTAGGAGGCTGAAGCAAGAGAATCCTATAACCAAAGTCAGACTCTTCTACATAGTGAGGCCTTGTCTCGGAAAAAAAGACAGTGAGTGTTCCTTAAGTTATTCCTGACATTGTTGCTTTCTACATGTTAGGAGAACATAGAATTTACAGTTCAAAAGTAGATAATTGCTAATTAAATTAAGATCATGTAAGATACAGTTGTAAACTGAGCTGTGGTAGTGCACATCTTTAATTCCAGCACTCAGGAGGCAGAGGCAGGCATATCTCTTGAGTTCAAGGCCAACCTGGTCTACAGAGTGAGTTCCAGGACAGCCTCCAAAACAATACAGAGAAACCCTGTCACGAAAAACCAAAAACAACAAAAAAAGAAAGAAAGAAAGAAAGAAAGAAAGAAAGAAAGAAGAAAAGAAAACAACAACAACAAAAAATCTACAGTTGTAAATCTTTTGGTGAAACCATTTTCAGCCTCAGAAAATGGGACGCTAATGCTAATGGGGAGATGGGGCAAAGGTGTTTAGAATTGGAACTACGCAAAGAAATTTAGCTTTCCTGGTTGCCATGCTCACAGATAGCATATTCTGGTTGCTTTATTTGAGGAAAGCTGAAAAACTGTCAAAATCTGCAAGGAGACAAGGGACTCTGTATGTAGTGTAGCTCAAGTTAGCCTTGAACTCAGGACCTCAGGTTTCAGCCTCCAGAGCAGTGAGATTGCAGGAGAGCACCACCTTGAGCTTTTAGCTAATTAACTAATTAATAAACGAACCCATTTTTGAGACAGGGTCTCATTATGAAGTAGTCCCTGATCTGGAACTCATTTGTAGACCAGGCTGGCTTCATACCACAGAAACCCACTGGCCTCCGCCTCCCTAGTGCTGGGATTAAGATATGTGTCACCACGCCCAGCCATCCTGAGTTCTTGAAAGACTGATTTTAAATTAATGTGTAGTTTTTTTGAGACTGGGTCTTGCTGTATAACCCAGGGAAGCCTGGAGCTGAGAACCCTGAGTTCTTAAAAGACTGATTTTAAATTAATGTGTAGTTTTTTTGAGACTGGGTCTTGCTGTATAACCCAGGGTAGCCTGGAACTGAAAACCCTGAGTTCTTGAAAGACTGATTTTAAATTAAGGTGTAGTTTTTTTGAGACTGGGTCTTGCTGTATAACCCAGGGTAGCCTGGAACTGAAAACCCTGAGTGTTGAGATTACATGTGTGTGCTACACTGGGATTCAAGTATGGTTTTGTTCTGAATTTTTTATTACATTTTGTAGAGAGAAGCTGTTTTCTTGCCAGCCGCTTTGGTTTTTCCCCACCAGTCTCCGAGGCTCTGCCGCGTTGTCGTCCCCAAATAACACACAAGACGCTGTATTAATTATGAAGCTGTTGGCCTTGCTTGTTTCTTACTGGCTAGCTCTGACTTAAGTATTTAACCCATCTAAGTATTTCTCTTACCGGATGGACATCTTACTTCTCTGGCGGGCTACATGATGACTCCCTGTGTTTCTCCTACCCAGAGTCCTCCTGGACTCCTAGTCCCCCCTATCTTGCTTCCCTATTGGCCAACAGTGCTTTGTTGACATATACACAGGACTTCCCCATCAACGTTTATTTCCTTATTTGTGTCTGACTGAGCATGTGCAGTAAGTAGTGCATACATGATGGTCAGAGGACAACTTTTGGAAGTCAGTTCTCTTCTTCTACCACGTGGTTCCCAAGGATCAAACTCAGGTTGTCAGGGTTAGCACCATGGGCCTTTACCCACTGAGCCTTCTTTTTTTTTTTTTTTTTTTTTTGGTTTTATGAGACAGGGTTTCTCTATTGTTTTGGAGGCTGTTGGTCCAGCCTGGCCTCGAACTCACAGAGATCCACCTGCCTCTGCCACCCGAATGCTGGGGACTAAAGGCGTATGCCACCACTGCCCGGCCCCACTGAGCCTTCTTGCCAGGCCCCCAATCCGTCTTTTGAATGATTTTTTTTTAATTTACTTACTTTGTATGCATTGGTGTTTTGCCTGCATGTTTGTCTGTGTGAGGGTATCAGATTACCTGGAACTCCAGTTTCAGACACAGACAGGTTTAGTTTGCTTGTTTGCTTCTTTCTAAACAGGGTTTCTCTGTGTAGCTTTGGAGGCTGTCCTTGAACTCTCTCTGTAGACGAGGCTGGCCTCAAACTCACAGAGATCCGCCTGTCTCAGCCTCCCGAGGACTGGGACTAAGGGTGTGCACCACCACCACCACCACCACCACTGCCGCCGCCGCCCAGGTCCACAGTTCTAAGCTGCCATGTGGGTTCTAGAATTGAACCCAGGTCTTCTGGAAAAGCAGCCAGTGCTCTTCACTGCTGAGCCATCTCTCCAGCCCCTCCCCCGGTCTGTTTTCAGTGAAACTTCTCTGTAATGTAAGGGATGGAAAACTATCCCACCACGAGTATTATTTTATCTACAGTCTTTGTTCAGGCTCACCATTACAGGAGCTCCAGATACACTGATGTAACAGGGCTGACTGTTTAAAGTCAGCCCTCAGTAGGGAGCCCTGAGCAGCGGTGCTGAGCAAGCCGATGTTAGAGCAATGCGACTGACTGAGTTCATCTCACTGTGTTCCCGAAACAGATGTCTGAGAGCAAAAGGGATGAAGACAGTGGAACAAGCTCCTCAGTGACTAAAGGTGAGAGCCGGTGCGCTTGGGGTCAGACTGCGTGGAGAGAATGTGTTGCTGAGCGTGCAGGAGTGACAGAAGGGACAAGCAGGGAGAAGCCCCAAGGCCTCACCACACTAGCTCAGGTCACTGGGCCACCTCTTGGCTCCCCTCCTCCTAAGTGCAGAGACAGCTCAGATGCCCCAGCAGAGCCACCACAAACTACAAACCACTGGCAGATAGAACTCATCTTGTTGTCATGTCTCAGGGCTTGCTCTCACAAAGCTGTGTGAATAGCTATGTGTCTATAATATTTATAAAATGTATTGATATGAGAGATTTCTGTCCCACGATTTATAAAGAATGAAGTATACAGTGCTCCTTGTGTTAAGTCCTCTATAGACTACTGATTTCACACACAGTGCCCTTTTTGACTTTGGCCAGACCCTTGCCTTCCTGGACCATCTCAGAGTTATAAACTGTGAATGAGTATAATGTTAGCAGAAATGTTATTGCCCTCAGCGTTAAGGAACGAAATGGCATCAAGACACCGATGTATGTTGGCACTCAGCTTAGTTGTTCATACGGCTTCTTTATTGAAGTGAATCGTAGCTTCAGAACACTGGAAGACTATTTTTTAATTTTAGGTTGCTACACTGTATAGGTGGCAGCTGCGCCAATCTCCGTTAGAAACACATTCTCCACCATTTTGTTAGCCCCGGGCAATCAGTGAACCACACACTGAGCCCTGATCTTTTTGCTAGTTTCCAGGTAAATGCTTGCTCTGCTGATGGTTTTGAGCTGGCAGCATATTATCACAGAACAGAGCTGGAGACAGATGTACAATAATAGTGCAGCCTCAAATAGTACTTTCCACACCCAGATAAACAGCTTCAAGAGCACACAGCATAATAAACTGTAGTAAGATAATTAGGAAATTATGGGCATTAAGTAATTATCACCTTTTTGGTAGATTGATTTAATTGTAAATTTGTGTAATTTGTTTAGTAATGATGGTTTAACCCATTTCACAAAATTTCCAAAAATGTATTAGGATTTTTGAGCTGGAATGAGTCAACATCAGCTTAGGAAAGAGCATGAAGAGAAGAGATGCTTCTTGCTGTCCAAATCGCTCTGATACACACAGTGCAGTCTTTGAGATTTCAAAATAAAGGGAAAGGGTCCTTCTCTGGGAACCTTCTTCTCTGCCAACCTTCCCGTTGGATATCACAGGCAGGGTTTACAGAAGTCCAAAAGTGATTTCAAGGATCTATGAGACTCCTCCAGTGTTTGTGGGGTACAGTACTAGAAATGTAGCCCGTGACTGAGAAAGGCTGTCATTTGATCGCTAGTGGTCCTACACGTGTGTTGGGCTTTCTTGGGTAATGTGAAGTTGTTAGCCAAGGCTCCATCATTTTGAAAAGTTCTAGCAGTTTCCTGAAACCACAGTAATCAATATCCAGAACTACATACAATGACATGCTCCCCTTAGATTCCTGCCATTGTCCCCCACTGAAGACCTTGATAATGGCTTGCCATAAGAGATGTTTATGGGTGGTCAGATTACTTATTTAGATAGGGTCTTACTAGATAACCCTATCTGACATGGAACTCAACTTTGTAGACTAGACTGGCTTTGAACTCAGAGATCCATCTGCCTAGGAATCTGCCTCCCCAGTGCTGGGATTAAAGGCGTGTCATGTCTGATTGAAGGACCTAACATTATTTAACTGATTATTCACTGGTTATGTCAAACAGAGGCCAAATGCAAACCAAAACTTGAAACCTCCTGCCATGTTCCAGGCTCTCTGCCCTTTAACTATGCCAGCTTGTAAGCAGAAGGCCGGCTCTGGTCCTACAGACACCCTCTGTAGGGCCCCCAAAGCTGCAGTCTTAAATGGTTCTTCCCTTGTCTGTCTGTCCTTCTCACTGACCTTTCTTTTTGTCTGTCTGTCTGTCTGTCTGTCTGTCTGTTGTTTTGTGTTTTGAGACAGGGTTTCTCTGTGTAGTCTTGGCTATTCTGGAACTCATTCTGTAGAGAGTGCTGGCCTTGAACTCACAGAGATCTGCCTGCTTCTCTCTGCCTCCCGAGTGCTGGGATTAAAGGTGTGCACCACCAACGCCCGGCTCACAGACCTTTCTATAGCAACCAATTACTAATGACTTATTGCCTAACTTGTCGATCTGTTTTGTTGGTTAGCAAGCAAAGAAGTTTCCTATAAGCGACAAAGTAAAGATGGGCCCTGGGACTCCTCACAAGTGATGAAGAAACCAAAGCAGACCCAGATCTCCATGGTAACTGACTCTGAAGTGGCTTTGGTGAATGCCTACCTTGAGCAAAGACGAGCTAGGCGCCATTCCCAGTTCCACCGGGTGAATCAGGCCCAGCAAGACAGTGACACCACTGAGTGTGACAGTGAGGAATCTAACTCTGGAGTCTCCTCGTGGAAGGAGAGTGAAAGTGAACACCATCCATTGCCCACCAGTATCAAGAGGAGAAAACCAGTGTCGAGGCCAAGAGATCTGGAAAATTACCAACTCAGGGAAAGGCCCTGCCTCCACTGCAAAGCCATGAGAACCAATGAGTGGCTGACACGCCACTTCCCGCCAAGCACCTCAGTAGCAGCCCCCGTGAAGGGAGAGACTCAAGAGGAGAGTTTGACACCTGGCATCAACACAAAATTAAGTAAATTTTGAATTTTGGTATCCTTACCTTACTTGAAGTCAAAAGAAGGAGATGAATAAAACATGAAAATCAGAGTTGTAGGTGAGGAGACATTTACAATAAAGCCTCTTTGCTAACAACGAAAGTATAATTGGAACCCAAGAGGTCAAATTTCAGATAAATTCATTGTTCAAAACAAGGGCAGAGAATTTTTTCATGCCACCACAGGAACACAGAAGACTTATCTTGTATGATCTTTTTTTTTTAAGTCAAAAGAGCCCAGGGCAGATAGTCCATACCCGAGGGTGTGTATTTTGTTTATGTCAATGATAAAAATACGAAAGCTCTTTGAAAATATATGTATGTTGAGAAACCATTTAAATCTATTCATATGTTTTGATTATCTGACTGACTTAACAAATGAGGTGATTTTTTTTAAATAGCTGATATGATTCTACTAGAACTGTATTGATCGGTAGATGGAGTCCACTAAGGGCTGTTGAGGAAAGGAGCGTAAGGGCCTGGAATCTGACCTTATTCTAGAGTACATTAGGGAGAAGGCAGTACATTAGAGTACATAGCGTGACTCAGAAGGCAACTGGGCCATGACTTGTTGTCGGTTGTTGTCCCAAGACCATGTCAAGTAAGTGTTAGAGCTATTTTTTTTTGACACTTGATAAGATAGGGAGAACTTTTTTATTTGATACTATTACATAGAGATCAATAAAGGAGCTACATAGAAATGGAAGCCTAATACAAGATAAGTGATTTATGGCCAAGGAGAAGGGTGAGGAGGGTCATTGGGTGGAAACCACTAAAAGAAGATAATGAATAATCTGCTAAACTTACCTAGCAACATTTTTCTTTTTGAGACAGGGTCTTATTAGGTAGCCTTGGCTGGCCTGGAACTCATATAGGCCAGGCTGGCCTCAAATTCACAGAGATCTGCCTGCCTCTGTACTGGGTTTAATGGTTTGGGCCACCACATCAGACCTCTAACACGATTCATGGTGAAGGTGGGACTTAACCATCTCAAGTATGGTCAGCTGTCAACAGGATTCCTGCTAAAACAGCTCAGTAGGTCAGACAGAACAGGACCAAAGTTGAAGCCTGGTCAAACGAGGACTCAGAGGAGCCTGTCTGAAGCTTGGTAGACGAGAGGACCTTTAACACAAATAGCTGAAATCTAGGGACTAGATGTTTCATTTAAGTTGGGGACCCTAGCAATGAAGAGTTCAGGACTAATATGGGTAGGCATTTCTTTTCTTTCTTGGTTTTTCTAGACAAAGCTTCTCTATGGCAGTCTGTCCTGGAACTAGCTCTTACAAGAGCTGGTCTTGAACTCACAGAGATCCGCCTGCCTCTGTCTCCCGAATGCTGGGGACTGAAGGCATGTGCTACCACCGTCCTGCTGGTGGGTGTTCTTTCTGTGGATCACTTTCCAGGTAACTGGCAGGCACCCAACTGTGTTATAAAACAGTGTGCAGATTCTAGAGAGGGCTGGCAAGGATAAGAAAATGTGTCATGGAGTCTGGTCATGGGGCTAGGTTCAGACAAGGTTACCATTTATGTGGATAATGTAGCCTGATACTAAGGACTCAGACTTCCATGAGGGTCAGGGAAAACACTAGTGTAGAGAACAGACAGCTATGACTTTGGACTCAGGATTCACTTTGACAAGAGCTGACTCCTTAACTAATTCTAACAAAGACTTTGGAACCAATGTAGATGTCTAAAGCACTGGTATCTGATTAGGATAATCTGTGTGAACAGTAACAGAAAACAGAGGTAAAGTTGCTCGGTAGAGTACATGCATAGCATACATGATGCGTTGGGTTCCATCCCCTGTACTGCATGAACCAGGTATGGAGGTGCATGCCTGTGACCCCACCACCAAAGAGGTTGAGGCAAGAGAATCAGGAGTTCAAGATCAGCCTGGGATATAGGAAACCCTGTCTTTTTTTTTTTTTAAGATTTATTTACTAATTATATGTACAGTATTCTGCCTCCATGTATCCCTAAATATCAGAAGAGGACACCAGATCTCATTACAGATAGTTGTGAGCCACCATGTGGTTGCTGGGCCTTGAACTCAGGACCTCTGGAAGAGCAGGCAGCGCTCTTAACCTCTGAGCCACCTCTCCAGCCCGGAAACCCTGTCTTAAAACAACACTAAGTAGAGGTGGAGGATCTAAGGAGAGAGTTGCCCCCCATGGATGAGCCATAGATGTGGTTAGATAAGAAACAAAAGCACAGACATCCGGGTTGAGACTCACGAAACGGAGACTGCAAATACTCGTCATAGCTGGACATTGCCTCCCTGCAAAGCCCAGTGTCACTCTCAGGGTGGGACTCCAGGCCAGCACGACAGTCTCATCTTACGGTCAAAGCCTGTCACCTGTTGGCTGACTGACTTGATGACTGACTTGAGGGAAGGTTTGCCTCCATTTGGTGAGTCATCCCTGCTGGGTTTCAACTGCATCAAGCATCACAGCTCTTACCAGACGGACGGAGAACTGCAGGACGCAGGAAAGGCTCTGACTGAAATGGAAGCGGTGAACGAGACATGCTTGCATGGGGTGGGGGTGTGGGGTTGCAGAAAGACAGGGAACGAGGTGGCTGGCAGGGGACTCGGATTACCGAGTGGTCAGTCTCCATCTCTGCTTGCCAGATTGGGGAGTGTGTCTGCTTGGCGCCAGTAGGCCTGTCAGGGTGGCAGGGAAGCAGCCTGAAGGGTTCCCTTAATCTTTCCCAGCCTTGACTCAGGTAGAACCCGATCCTTCAACTTTAGAAAACAATTGGAGGGAAAGCCGGGTGAAGTAGAGTTGGAGTTGAGTGAAAATGGGGGGGGGGGGGGAGCGATGAAGTGGAGGAGGCTGCCTGCTACACCTCAGGGCATGGGGAGGGGCTTCCCATTGCACTTACATGTCTTAGCATAGCCCTGTTAGCTACTGTGGCTCTGAATACTAAAGGTGATGCCTTAGATATAATCTGATAAGATAAAACTCAGAGCCACTGGGGCTACCCAAGGGGCTCAGGACATATATCTTACCATAAGTGGGATTTCTAGTGAGATTCCTAGAGAGTAATAGGTTTATAGAGTAGAAAGGAGAAAGGCCTTAAGCAAATATTAATTGTATTAGAGTTCTTCGCATCTGGTTAAGATTACAGACTAGTAGGTGAGGGTTTTTTTTTTTTCCTGCTCATGTCCACATTATTTTCTCTGTCTTCTGGTCCTACTTAAGGGAAAGTCTAGGTAACAAGCATATTAATGTTGTTATTGGGGAACATTTAGAGAATGCTTGCTTCATTTCAGACACAAGTCTGCAAGATAGGTATTATTCCAACCAGGCAGATGGTGAAACAGGTAGAGAAAGGGAGAGATCGGGCTTGGGGTCTTATCTAACCACTGACATAATCGCTCCATGGTGACGATATGTTGTCCGTTTTTTCACACTTACTTGTGTGTACGTGGATGTGTCTGAGCACACGTCATGGTGTACACGTGAGATCAGAGGACAGCTTGCTGGCGTCTGTTCTCTCCTTCCACCACGCGGGTCCAGGGATCGAACCCAGTTTACCAGGCTTGGAAGCGAGTGCCTCTAGCCTCTAAGCCATCCCTTATCCATGTTCTGCTTCTTATTTTATGTGCTTTTTTATTTTATGTGTACAAATGTTTTGCCTGAATGTTATGTATTTACACCTTAGTGCCCCCAGAGATCAGAAGAAGGCCTCAGATCCCCTGGAACTGTAGTTATGGATACTTATGAGCCACCAGATGAGTGGTGGAAATTGAATCTAGGTCCTCTGCAAGAGTTACGAGTGCTCTGGACCACTGGGCCACCCCTCCAGCCCTGTTATGTATTTGTTCTTGTTGTTTGAGATAGGGTCTCACTAAGTAACCCTGGATGGCCTGGAACTCAGAGATCTGCCTACCACAGGCTCCTGAGCACTGGGATCAAAGACATTTGCCAACATACCTGCCTTCTTCTGTGAATATCTGGTACACCAAATACCAAATGCAGATTAGAGGACTGTTGGTGGAAAATATAGCCAGGAGTCAGAAATTGAATAGAGGTGGGCACAGTTCTAAGGGAGCTGAGGGCTCTCCTCTTTGGTGAAAGAACTCACAGCTCCCACTTGCCTCAGCTTTTGTGAGGAAGCCTGGTTGGACTCAAGACAAGAGGAGCGAGGCCTGGAAAGGCTGAGCTGGAAGCAGTGGGAGGCTGGAAATAGATGAGACTGAATGTTGAATAGCAAGAGGCAGCAGGGACTAGACCAGTGAGGATCTGAGAGGAGGAGACTGAGAGGCTCTGATTTAGAGCGGTAATGAGTAGGAACGCTACTCCATCCCTGAGTAAGGAGGCTCCTGAAGGCAGCACAGCAGCTCCTCAAGACTCCAGATAACAGACTTGCACACAGCCGGCCGCCTCTTCTCCCGGCAGGGAGTGCCCTCGTCTCCCAGTGTGTCCTAGAAGGATGCTTTCAAAACAGTCCTTTTCGTCATCACTCTAATCTGTGGCTTCGTGGTTCGTGGTCAACAACCACAGATACTAAACATTGGTATTCTCATTGTTTTGGGTTTCTTTTTTTTGCTTTTTTTTTTTTTTTTTCAAAACAGGAGTTCTCTGTGTAGCTCTGACTGTCCTGGAACTCATTCTGTATATCAGACTGGCCTGGAACTCACAGAGAGAGATCCATGCGCCTGCCTCTGCCTCCTGAGTGCTGGGATTAAAGGTGTGCACCAGAACCGGCTGGTTAATTATTAATTTCTTACTGTGCCTGATTTATAAATGAAACAGCTTCACTCCTCCTCCTCCTCAAGAAAATATGACTACCCAGCAAAGAATACAGAGTATGAGGACAATACAACTGCCAAAAGGACTCTGTTTTTCTCCAGCACTACAGATAGAACCCAGGACTTGTGCATGCTGGACAAGGGCTCTACCTAAATTATCATAGGTGTGTGCACCCCCCCACAAAAATCATGTATGCACACATTTCAGCGCCCTCTGGTTTCCATGCCCTTTGGAAACAGTCCCTCTTGGTAAGGGTGGGGGCTAGTGAAATCAATTAGTGGTTGTAGCAAACAGGTCAAAAAATAATAGAGGGCAGCAGAATTGTTTCAGAAGATTCAGTCCAAAACATTTGTCTTACTATGTTAAGGTAAAAACACAAAATGTAAAGCTGGATGGGAGTTTTCTTCAGAGGCTTTCCCGATTATGCAGCCACACCACTGAGTTAGTGAGAAAACTCATTGCTCCATGCATTCCAGATTTACCACATGCTAGTAATTAGTAAATCCTCACCACACTGCAGGACGGACCCGCTGTTTAGCTTAGTGGGAAGCGTGAATTGAATCATATGACTTTAGAAGAACTACAGGTTTCTATTTGTAAATACAGTAAGTGGAAGCAAGCTAGCCAACTGTGGCCAGTATACAAGGATGGGCTTTGCTTTGGAGAATAGACAAGAGTAATTTGTAATTGACATTTCAAAGAAGCCTAAGAAACAGGCCAGCCTTTGTTTAAATCCTAATTACCCTGTTTGTATGTAAAAGGATACTTCTATAGAAAGCTTTTCAAAACAACTGGTTCTTTTAAGTAGATAATTATTCCCCCCTCTAATCTTGTTTATACTATGCAGAACTTCAGTGAACTCTTTCTTCCCTCCACAAAGGTTAACTTCAGCCAGCCCTTCCTAAAATTATCACAGATTCCCAATTAGTGAATTTGAAAAGGGTTTCCCTGCAACAATACGCCAAGGACTTGTCTGCGGTGCTCTTTGTTGCACTGAATAATGTCTGACAGGTTTCCAAGCACCGGGCCACCTGGATATTCTCTCTGTCAGGACCACGCGGGCAGGGGTGGACGGCGGTTAAAGGGGACTACAGATGAGTCACAGACCTTCGGAGGTGGTGAAGGAAGACAAAAGGACTAGTTTTGGGTGTGAGGAGGAACGTACGTTGGTAACCCTAAGCAGGAAAAAAAAAACTTTTTTCTTTAATGTAGAGCAGAAGATTGTTAGGTCAAGCGAAGCTCCTAAGAGAAAGGTGTCTTTTAAATCAACTCCTCTTGTGCTTTTCTTTTGACCAACCCTCCCCGCCCCCACCCAGCTCCCGGCACTAAACTACTTATTTCCTTTTGGAAATTTCTACTCAGTACTCAAAATTCAATGCACGAGATCCTTTTATTAAAGTAATAAAAAGTTTCAATCCCGACAATGCTAGTTTCCAGTTCTCGTCTTTTTAACTTCTGAGCTGACTTCTTGTGCAGGCAGATCCTAACACTGCCTGCTTATGGGGGCCTGCAGTCTGTAACGATCTTTGTTTACCAGCGTCCCCTGTCACCATAAAGTTTCATACGTTCAAAACCTTGATTTAGCGGTGAAAATGCCAGGCAGGGAGCCAGCTCTGCTACTAATTAGAATAAATCAAAAGGGGAAAAGGGGGAGATAAAAACCGGGTTCCGGTGGGCGGATCTACCGGATTTATTAAGACTGAGTGACAGGTCTGAGAGAGAAATAAGAGACAAAAGTGTCTGGAGAAATCCCTGCGAGGGTCAGAGCCCTTGTGTGTTTTCTCTGATTGCACGGCTTTAGAGAGGGAGTCGCGGTAGCCCCTGCTGATTGCTTCCCATTCTTCCATTCTGACTCCTTTGTACACTTTCTCTTACATGAGGTCCTGATTGCCCTGAGCCAATCATGGCAAAACCGTTGTGGATGAGTGGTTCCAGCGGGCAGGGGGTGTCGTTTGTTTCTGAGGAGAAGTTTGCTGGCGGGGGCGTTCTTCAGAGTTTCTTCACCCTGAGAACAGACGTGCAGAGAAAGGAAACAGCCTCTTTTCTTTCCGTGGACCTCCCCGAGTCTGCAGGGGATGGCAACACGTGTCCACAGAGGCACGGGTTTGAATGTGACCAAGTGGAAAGGCGGAATAAACAGGCGCAGAGCTGCCGAACTGACAAGAGCTGGAGTGGGGGTGGGGGGCGCGAGGGGGGGGGTGGAGAGATGGCTCAGCAGTCAAGAGCATTGACTGCTCTTCCAGGAGTCCTGAGTTCAATTCCCAGCACCCGCATGGCAGCCATCAACTGACTGTAACTCCAAGATGTGACATCCCCACACAGATATACATTCAGGAAAAAGACCAATGCAAATAAAATAAAAATAAATTTATAAAGAAAAGCTGGAACAATACTTGGGTTTCTCTTTTGCTTTGTTTTTGTAGCCCAGACTTGCCTGCAATTCACCATCTGCCTGCTTCAGCCTCCTGTACCTTAGTAGGATTGCAGGAGTGTGTCACTAGGCCTGGTACCTGCTTTTGGATTGCTTTCAGGCAAGGTAATTTTTTCCTAAGACAAGTTCTTACTAGGTAGCTTTAGCTGGCCTGAAACCCTCAATGTGGACCAGCCTCGCCTCAAACTCATGGAGACCTGCCTGCCTCTGCCTTCTGAGTGCTGAGTTTAAAGACATGCCCCAGCAACATTTATTTTTTAAAAAACTTACCTTGCCTCGGTGTGGTAGTGCACACCCTTAACTCGCCCCCCCCACTTGAGGATCCTACACACACACCGGAGAAGAGGCAGGCTGAGGTAAATTCAAGGCCAGTTTAGTCTACATCTGGAGTTCCAGGCCAGCCAAGACTATATAGTGAAACATTGTTATAACAAACCTCTCCCAACCAAGTATGTCTATTTGTAGTTTCTTGTTTTGTTAAAGACAGGGTCTTATGTACCCTGGGCTTGCGCCAAATTTGCCTTGTAGCTTTGACCTTGTTTGTTTTTGGTTTTTCGAGACAGGGTTTCTGTTAACAGTCTTGGTGGCTGTCCTGGAACTCGCTTTGTAGACTAGGCTGGCCTCGAACTCACAGAGATCCACCTGCCTCTACCTCTTAAGTGCTGGGATTAAAGGTGTGCACCACCACCACCACAGCTGTGACCTCGTATGTGATGACCCTGATTTTCCAATCCTCCTGCCTCTACCTTCTGACTGTAAGAACTACAGGTTTATACCACCACGCCTAGTCTGTGGTGCTGGAACTGGAACCATTGAATAGTAGGGAAGTCCTCTGCCAACCAATCTACTTCAGAGACAAGTTATTTCAGGCACATTAACTATTTTTTGAGCATTCTCAGGGAGTTTTCCTGTTTCTTGCATTTGACTTAGGATCCTCCTCTCTGATCTACAGACAGGGCCTTTCACCCGGGAAGTGCTTTGTACCGCTGAAGTTGCTAAAGACAGACACGTATATAAACTGTTGCCTTCCCATGTCCACGGTGGCATGGATGCCATTCATGCAGAAGTCTGTAGACCCAGGGACATGCTATTCCAGTGTAACGTGTGCACTCTAGAGTGTCCACAATACCTAGCATAAGGCAAGGACATGTAAACAGCTGCCCTGCTCCAGCAGGGCACAACGAAAGGTCAAGCCCACGGGAACCTGGAAAGACGGGACAAGAGACAAGAGAAGTTGACGGTAAGACAAGCCTGATCAAGCTGCATTTAATGAGAATTCTGTGCTGGCATCAATAGGGGAAATGAGGTAGGGGGATGGGAGAGAGGGATACAGGACAATGAGGGAGGGGTCGTTGCCTAGCAACCAGGCCACTGAAGGTAAGCAGGTAACAGGTGTTGGCAAGGCTAAAGGGTCGCAGAGGGAGGGGGTTAAGTGATCTAATTGTGGAATGTTTCCTTTTTGCCAAGTTCTATTCGTTAGGAAGCTGGGGTGTGTGTGTGTGTGTGTGTGGTGGTGGATATTCTTAAAAAAGGCTGGCAATATTTACAAGAGGTTCTAAATGTAGGGAAAAGGGACCAGTCAAAGAAACACACCCTGAGCAGAGCCAAAGAAACACACTTTGGCCCTGCAACCAGAACCAAAGAAATGTACCCTGACCCTAAAACCAGTGCCAAAGGAACACACTTTGTCCCTGGAATCAGAGTCAGTGAAAGAAATGTACCCTGGCCCTAAAATTGGAGCCAAAAGGCTAAAAAGGACCAGAGAAAGAAACACACTTTGGCCCTGAAACCAGAGCCAAATCTGACCCTAATCCTGTGTAAAAAAGTAACCAATCCCGGAGCAGAGCTCTAGCCAATCTGAGCTCAGCACTGAAATTGGACCAATCCCTACCCTGGAAAAACTTCCCCAACCCCAGGAACCCCTATATAAACCCTGTGTATGTTCAGCTTGGCTGGTCCAGCTGTCTTCCAATAAACACCTTTGGATGAGCTTCGGGGTGAAGATCTTCTTTTGCGGCTGCGACAGAGCAAAGGCGACCCTGGGCAGAGCAGAGCAGAGCGAGCAGAGGCGACCCTGGGCAGAGCAGAGCAGAGCAGAGCGAGCAGCGCTGTAACACTTGCCCGGGAAACCTTCCTTGGCAGAGCGGAGTTGTTACACTCTGCTCCCGCCCGGCTCCCTGCTCTCCGCTCGGCTCTCCAGGAGCAGAGCTGAACTGTAGCAACTTCGCCCGAGAAACCTCCTGCGGAGCAAAACTGCTACACTAGGCGAACATCCCCAGCTGGAAGACCCTGTCCTGCCGGAGCGGAGCTGACACACCGGAGAAGCCTTTCTCTGAGGCAAGGCTGTAAGCTGCCAAGCTTACTGCAACCTGTGGTGGTCCTTGGCTCCCGAGCTCCAGGATACCTTTCTACCTGAGCTGTGTAACACTCAGTATCCTTGGCTCCCGAGCTCCAGGATACCTTTCTACCTGAGCTGTGTAACACTCAGTATCCTTGGCTCCCGAGCTCCAGGATACCTTTCCACCTGAGCTGTGTAACACTGGGTATTCTGTGACTCCCGAGTGCCAGAATACCTGACCCACTCACTCCTGTTCCATCCTGTCCTGACCCATCCCGACGAAACGCTTACATTTGGTGCCGAAACCCGGGATAGGCTCTCCTGGTGCCTGTGCTCCCTTTCATGGTCTGAGCCGCACTGGGATCCTATCCCTCATCTTCAGTCTACCCGTGACTTGGATAGGCTCTCCTGGTGCCTGTGCTCCCCTTCGTGGTCTGAGCCGCACTGGGACCCTATCTCTCATCTCCAGTTGGCCTGCAGCAGACTCGCCTTCCAGCTCACCAATCGCTTGACACTACATCCACCATCAACGATTGGGTAAGTCTCCCCTTCATTTGGTGTTTCAGCTCCCTAAGTCAGGGATACTTGTAGAGACGGAGGTACCCCAGCCAAGGCCCTTAAGGCTACAGCTGACCCTCCTCACCTTACCCCAGCCTACCACCCTTGAAATTGCAATCCTGCAGTTTCCTTAGGCCCCACCGGGTCATTGCGTCCCTTCCTGACCTCCTCCCTTGGAGCTGGCTGTCGTTGCACAGCTCCTCTAGGCCCTTGTGGCTTCTACGATTCCAATCCTGACCCTTTCCTTTGGATGAGACCCTTTTAGAGCTCGGTTTCCGTCTACGCCTTCTGGCCTCTAGAAAAGCCCTGGTACCAGGCGCCGAGTCTCTTCTGGCTTAGCCGGGCTAAGCCTGACCCCCGTTGAGTTGGGTGACGACCCTCTGAACGGCTTGGTCCTCTTTCGGTGGTCCTCCCTGAGTCCTGGGGACGCCCTTGACTACAGGCTGCAGTGACCTTTTCCTTCTCATCCATGGGAACCGTGTCATCCGTACCCTCCCATTCCCCCTTGGGATGCCTCCTAGAAAACCTCAAGTCTCTACACCTGACACCTGAACTAAAGGGTTCTAAACTTATTCGCTTTTGCAATAAAATTTGGCCTAAATACCATTTAGATAATCAGTCCAAATGGCCACGTAATGGCACCCTCGATCCCAATATTATTCGGGACCTTTACAACTACTGTGAGCGATTGGAGAAATGGAAGGAGATTTTCTATGTCCAGGCTTTCTCTCTGCTACGCTCCAAGCCTTCTCTCTGTGCCTCATGCTCTCCCACTCAACTTCTTTTGGCTAGGAAGTCTGAACAAGATGATCCCTCTACTACTTTTGATCCAGCCAATGAGCCTTCTCCCCGTCGAACAAAACCCTCAGCTCCCCCTCTTGTGCTGGCCCCTCCGATTTCCCTTCCTCCCTCTTCAGTGACAAGTCACCCTAGTCAGCATTCACTGGCACCCTCCTTCAGCTCACCACCAACAGTCCCTAGTCCTCCCACTACTCGGTCCCGCTCCACTAAGGGACCACCCCCTTTACCTCCCCAACCTAAACCAGCTCCAGTTCTCCCCTTGCGAGAGGTTGCTGGGGTGGATGGCTTAGTCAAAGTTCATGTCCCCTTCTCATTGACTGAACTCTCCCAAATAGACAAAAGGTTGGGATCCTATAGTGCCAACCCTTCCACCTTTATTAAAGAATTCCAGTATATTACCCAGTCCTATAACCTTACCTTCCGTGATGTTTACATGATTCTTACCAACAATCTCCTCCCTGAGGAACGCAGGCGAGTTTGGGAACAGGCTAGAATCTATGCAGATGACATCTATCAAACTGATGATACCTACCCAGTTGGATCTATGGCAGTTCCTGACCAGGAGCCTGACTGGGATTACAATACCCCAGGGGGCATCCTAGCTAGGAAGCGGTTTTTAACTTGTCTCCTGGCTGGTCTCCGTAAGGCTGCTCTTAAAGCAGTAAATTATGAAAGGATCCAAAGGGTCATCCAGGACAAGGATGAAAACCCATCCCAATTCCTAGACCGTCTTACAAAGGCCCTCTTACAATACACCAATGTGGATCCTGAGACTCAAGATGGAAACAAACTCCTTATGACCTACTTTTTTTCCCAAAGTTACCCTGATATTAGGGCCAAACTCAGACGTCTAGAAAAGGGCCCCTTAACTCCACAG